GTAAAATGCGCACGGCGCTTTTAAGCTATTTAAAAGCGAGGAAAAGAGGGGAAATTCAAACGAACTAAAAACGAACAATTGCTTTACGCCGAATTGCCGCTATTTCAAAGTGAAAGTAAAATGCGCACGCCGCTTTTACAAGCTATTTAAAAGCGAAGGAAAGCGAGGAAAAGAGGGAACGCCCCGCCCCCACGGTGATACCGGTATTACCGGTGTTGTCACACGTCGATTAACCGGTGGGAAAATTTCCTCACCGTCACAACCCTAATATAGAGCAGAACAATATGCAGAGCAAAAAGAGGGAGGCTGATACAATGTTAAAATGAGACAAAAACTCTTTAAACAATATTATTTTTCTTCAGTCTTTGATAAAAATGTTTCTACAACAACTTTATCGAAGTGGTACCATATGCAATATTCCCTCTAAGCTGCACACGTGTGTGGCCGCGCAGAAGAAATAATATGCCGCGCACAGGACAAACGCAAAAATGAGTTGGGAAAGCCATTTGATTGAATTCTAGTAAATGCAAAATAGTTGCAATGCTCGGGCAAACCGCTATAGAGTTGGTGTCGCTATAGAGTTAGAAGCGGTGAATGCGGTCTACAGGTTTCATAGAAAGAGAATGATGTGCGCAAAATCAGTCCCTGTAGTAGGGGTGTTCGGTTCCAGGTTTTTCGGAGTCGACTCCGACTCCCGACTCTCACCATCGGAGTTGATGGAAATGGCATTTAACGTGACTGTCCAAATTAGTCCAATTTAGCGGTGACATTACCTTTAAATGAGCTATCACCGTTGTTTGCTGTTGCCGACACTTAATTTCACAGAGGGAAAAGTCACGAAAAACAGCCGTGGTGGAATATTCTCTCAGAATTAAATAAAAAATTATATATTCTTTAATGAATTTGTCATATAATGGTCAGGGGATGGCGCTAAACGCATAGTCTTAAACAGCATTGATATTAAAAAATAAATACAATAGGCCTAAATACAAAAATACATACGAATGTAGGCCTACACTTACTGATTTGTTTATTCTTGTTTATTATGCGTCTGTTTTTAATGATTTAAGCTTAGTTTAATGATTGAATAGCCTATGGAAAACCAGATGTAGCCTATAGGCTATTGACTGCATTAAACATAGGCTAACATTGCATAACAAAACATCAATTATGCAAAGCTGTCACAGAAGCATGTATAATTACAAACTACATTTACTATTCCACACCTGTTTCACACATACTCCGTTTGCAGTGCGTGATTTCTTTTTGAGCATTTGCTTTTGTTGAGCATTCACTTGATGCGTTCCGAGCGGTATGTATATGCAGCATCGCAGCGATCGTTCCCGCACCGAGTCTATTTTATTTTTGCTGTGCTGCACACGTTGAATTAAAGTGACAGGGCATTGCTCACGTTAAAAATGTACGAATACGAAATGTATTAATTGCACCATAAATGCATATAGGCTAATTAAAGTAGTTTTAGCTATATGGGTAAAGCAAGGAAAAGTACCCTAAACTTTTAGATAAACATGGTAATCGATGGCACTCGTGGAGTTAGAAAACAAAGTTCTTTTTATGACCAGCAGGGTTACTTGTAATGTAAATGCAAAAAAAAAAGAAAAAAAAAGAGGCGACTGTTTCTGTCAAAGGTAAGTTTTAATTTAAAATGATGACAGCCTACTAACTTAACGTAAGAAAAGTAGATTGTAGGCTGTGTTTACATGTTTTGCCACTTGCTTGAACATCTTATATATAAATTATTACATTTTTATATA